AGAACAGTGCACACACAGAACAGTGCACACACAGAACAGTGCACACACAGAACAGTGCACACACAGAACAGTGCACACACAGAACAGTGCACACACAGAACAGTGCACACACAGAACAGTGCACACACAGAACAGTGCACACACAGAACAGTGCACACACTTACTGGTTCTCCTCTTCGACGCGAAGAACGTCCCCTGGACCCAGCACACTCAGCGTTAAATTCAGGTTGCCGGTTGTCTTGCTCTCATTAATGCCAATCAATGGCACATATCCACTCAAGGTGTGGTTACCCCTATTCTTTACAGATCGAACTGAAACGAGGCTTAACGATGTCTACGCACGCGAGCCAACAGCCACGAGCCTACGGCTACGAGCCTACAGCCACGAGCCTACGGCTACGAGCCTACGGCTACGAGCCTACAGCCACGAGCCTACGGCCACGAGCCTACGGCTACGAGCCTACGGCCACGAGCCTAGGGGTAGCACGAGGGGGTGCAGGCGCCAGGTGGGTGCAAACGTTCGGTGGCAGATTTTTGGTCGTGCGTTTACGTTGAATAGCTGCAAGTCCAATGGTCGTGTTGGCCCAGAATGCGTTTGCAGATTGGAGTTCGAACTCGATCACTGCCTGGTCGAAGGACTGCTGAGGCATCACCAAGTTCGGCCATGAGTGAGCCTCATCAAAGTTGACCAGACCCAGCTTCTCATATTTGATCTCCGTTCGGTACTCCTGACCAGCGCAACGAACCACCACCAACTAGAGAGCAGCAAGTCAGTTTGGGCAAGTCACCCGGGACAAGTCACTCCGGGCAAGTCACTCGGGGTAAGCCACGTCCAGGGGGCGGTGGTGCGGAACCCGACAAAACTACGTGTGTGACGGACGTGACACATGTGACGTGTTTGTGCTACGTGTGTATGTGCTACATGTGTATGTGCTCACGGGATTGATGACGCCGCCGTCGGGTGAGACCATGTTGTTCACGTCCTTGATGGTGAAGGACACATTGTATGCATCCATGGTGCATCAATGAGGTTGTGGCTGTTAATCGATGTTCTTTGCGTGGCCCTGTTTGTGGCCTCCGGGCTCCTCCTGCCGTTGACTGAGTCCAGTTTCCAGCTGGGTAACCTGCGCTTCTGGAAAATCCGGACGAATTGGATTAGAGTGCAGACGGTCAGCGACTGCACTGCGTGGGACTTTGACAAGCCCTTTCACCTCACCTGCATGGCACTATTCAAGCAGGCGAACAAGCCAATGTTTCTACACAGGTGAGGTCCTGCCCGACCCATTCCCAGCCCGCCCGTGTACCGCCAAGCTCGGCAGTATTGTTTCTTCCCTGCAACATATATATGTGCCAACAGGTGGCGGAGTTCGGTGTGTGGTTTCGTGTCAAACAAGGGTGGCACGTTGCCGGACACGGTCAGCGAAGTGGCGGCGGGATTGAAATTTTTTTGCGAGTCGGCCAAGAGTCTATGGCTCCGTCAGTTTATCACGATCGGTCTAGCAGCGATGGCACTGGGGTTGCTGTTGTTGGGGCACCTGAAATTTCGGGGGGCGCGAGTCTTGCGGACGCTCAGCCTTGCGCCCCTGGCGGGTGCCGCGGCCTTTCTCTTCCTGCGGTTCAGTACTCTGGACCTGAGCCTCGCATCTGCAGTGCCCGCCATGTACGATGGAACCACACCCATGCTCAGCATCAAGTCTCACACTAGAGACTTCCGGTTAGCCGGCGTCCTCGGCTGGCTAGCCGCAACCGCCGCCCTCACCACGTCCATCGCTGTCTCCAACTTCCCCCCCGAGCGACGAAGAAATAGGAGGAATGTAGCAGAGGAGGACCAAAATCTACTCAGCTTTTGGGCCATCACTCCCGCCGCCCCTTAAGTCCCAGACTAAGGCACCAACCAGTAGCCAAAGCACCAACCCTGGGCCAGGAGCACCGCACGCAAACACTACCTTCAGATGCACAACCGTTCAATAGCAATGGTAGTTAAGCGGCCGTCACACAACGGCCTGCCGGAACACGGTCTGACTCTTCGTCAAGACCGCTGCCAGATAAGATGAGCTGTGTAAGGTAGCTGTGAGGCCTCGGAATTAGTTACATTTTTCGTCCCAAAAATGTCGCCAGACATACCCATCCCAATCACCAGCAATGGTGCCAAGGTAACCACACTGTTGTCTTGCGCAGACCAGGGTTGACTGGGACTCGTTCCGGGGCGGCTCAGCGGCGAGTTGTGCGCGGTCATGAGTGCATTACACACGTGTGTGTAACGCAAGCGCGGCGCAAGGGAAACGCGTAGCAATGCACACGTGTGCAAATTGGAAGCGTGTATGTTGTTCACGGGCGGTTGTGCATGCGCGGTTAGAGGTAGTAAACAGTGTTGTGTATAGGTGCCGTTGCCCAAGTATTACGCGACGGTGAATTCGGTGATGCCGCCGGAGTACTGGGACTATGAAACGGCAGCCATTGAGTGGTCGTTGCCTGACGGGATTGAGGTGGTACGCAAAATCGGTCGTGGCAAGTACAGCGAGGTGTTTGAAGGGAGGCTGATATGTGCGGACGGTCGTGAGGAGTTATGCGTTGTGAAGATTTTGAAGCCAGTTAAGAAGAAGAAGATTCGGCGGGAGATCCGTATCTTACAAAACTTGGCAGGTGGTCCGAATGTGATTCGGTTGATTGACGTGGTAAAGGACCCGCTGAGTCGTACGCCTTCGTTGATAACGGAGATGGTGGAGAATTCTGACTTCCGGAAATTGTATCCTCGACTTACTTTGTACGATGTGCGGTATTACATTTTCCAATTGCTACGCGCCCTTGACTTCTGCCATAGCCGAGGCATAATGCATCGAGATGTGAAACCTCACAACGTCATGATCGATCATAGTCGACACAAGCTTCGTTTGATTGATTGGGGTCTAGCAGAGTTTTACCATCCGGGACGAGAATACAACGTTCGTGTTGCATCTCGTTACTACAAGGGTCCCGAACTACTGGTTAATCTGCAGCTATACGACTACTCCCTAGACATGTGGTCGTTGGGTTGCGTGCTCGCAGGAATTATATTTAAAAGGGAGCCTTTCTTCTACGGCTCTGATAATTATGATCAGCTTACACAAATCGTTAAAGTCCTTGGCTCGCCTGACTTCAACATCTACTGCCAAAGATATAAACTCAAACTAGATCATATGTACAACCAAGATATATACGACAAATATCCTAGACGCCCATGGAGCTCATTCATAAGAAAGGACAATACCCACCTAGCCACTGAAGATGCAATTGACCTACTTGACCAACTTCTCAGATATGATCACACTCAGAGAATCGTACCGAAAGACGCCATGAAACACCGATTCTTCGATCCTGTCAGAGTACTCAACACCCTCCCTCCCCCTACCCACAAGCACAAGTGCGCTAATCTATTTTAGGCTGACATTGAACGAGAGATTGAGGAGGATGAGGCCAACAAAAAACGTAACATAGCTTAATTACGTTCTTTTATGACTCGACGATTCTTAATCTCAACATGAATTCTGAATATCAATGACCCTAATGCACGCGCATGTGCATGGTTCGTTCTATGTGATTTACTAATGTGTGCACTATTCATTCATCTCACCCAAACTTTGCCTTGCCACACCTTGTTGTTCGTCCAAGCTTGAACAGACCGTCACACCACGTGACATGTCACACCACGTGGCATGTCACACGACGTGACATGTAGCTGTATGCTTGTCGTCTTCGATAGGTTGTGTGTTTCAGACACACGCACACTTGCGGTAAAGGATTTGGGTTTGGGTCGATGAATGGTCAGGTAGGTTCACACAGTGAGATTCACACCAGTCTAGAGGGTACGAAGGGCACTATGTGAGGTTGATACAGGCAGATTTCGCGGGTTCAGGAAGCATCGGAGCACACCCACAAGTATTGCATGCTCCTTGAATAACAGGAGGAGGAGATGTTTAAAGAGTGTTGCGACGATTGTTTGGACCCCAAGGGTCGGCCAGAGCACCCGCCGTATTTGTATGAGGCCCGGGGGCCTTTGAACGTGCCAGCGGGATTGCAGCCGCATGAATACGAGCCCTTCATGACCATGACCAAGTTGAATCCCACGTTGCGGGGGCGATATGTGACCGAACCGCGGTCGACGGTGAAGGACGACCAGCTCTTCGAAGACCTATTTAACGCACCGGCTTCGATGCCACCGGTGCGAACCGGCAAGCTCGGAGCCGCCCCGCCGGAGCTCAACGACCGAGGGTTCCCACTACCCGTCGTCGAGCCAGCCGGCGTGGATCCGGCCGAGCTGCAAAAGACCATCAACCAATCGAACGGGGAACGACCGAACCGCGCCCGCGAACCGAAAATCCAGCGCCTGATCTCGCAACCCCCGCCCGTCACACGAATGACTTGGGCCCAATACCGACGCGCCGTACCCCCTGCCGTCAGCCAAGTTACGGAACCCGTCAACTGGAGCGACCAACTCCGAGGTAGCTCCATACAACAACATGCTATCGTAAGCAAGACCGGAATACAACTACCGTTGGACAAAATGAAACGTGAACAATCAGCACTAGAGCAATCTGCACCAGAGCAATCTGCACCGGAGCAATCTGCACGCGAGCTTGCGCGCGAACAGTCTGGGCAAGAGGCCCTAAAAGGCCGCGCCCAGACGAGCACTGCCGTGATCTTGCAGCCGAACCATGATCTTTCGGCTCTCCGAGAAGTGGCCCGCCAGGCCTCTGCGACCGGGCGCAATCAGGCGACGAAACGGAGCCCCCCGAGTATTCCGAAAGCCAAGTCCAGACCACCACAGTTAGCAGGTCGCGGCGGGCCGCCGAGGGCCATGGAGTCACCTCCCGAGCTTGTGAGAGAATCCTCTGGACGCGGCAAGCCCATTACGCCCGAACTAGCTGCGTCTAGACCCACCACATCGAAGCCTGCGATGGCGCAACCCAAGGAGGAACAACCAACTAAAGAGCAATCAACAGCGGAAGAGCCAGTGGTGGAGCAGTCAGTGGTTGAACAGCAGGTTAAGAGAGTGGTACCCCGCCGGTCTCAGACGCTGCAGCCTAGCCAGATCGAAGCGGCGATCAAGGGTCTAGGAAAGGACCTTGAGAAGGCGCAATCCCTGGACGACGACCGGGACGCCGCGGACAGACCGAACGGCCTCATCGCGGAATGGATTAAGGAACGAAAGGCGGCGGATCATGGACCCACGGAGGCCGAGGGCCCCCTGGTCGACCTGGAACCTCTAGAACTGAAACGAGTCGAACCGGTTCCGGATGTAGCAGATTTGGTCGCCGAACTCAAGAAGAAATTCCGCCGTAACCGCCCCCCGGCATCAAGCAGGTCCTCTGGCTCCAGCTCGCTCAGCAAGCCGGACCCATTCTCTAAGAATACTCACGAAAATCCTTCTCTCGACCTACGCCCAGCTCAAGGCTCAGGCCCAGCTCAAGGCTCAGGCCCAGCACGAGGCCGCCAATACCAAGGCCAGCAAGACCAAGGCCCGCAGGACGGGGGGCGTCAGGACGAGTCATCGAGTCCAGTCCCTGAAGACCTGCAGCTGACCCCTAACGGGCAACAGGGCGCGAACAAGCCGACGGGTATTCGGCGCAGCAAATCGTCTCCGCCCCGTGGGAGTGGTTCGATAGCGCTGCTGGACGCCGGCGACCTGCTGAACGTCAGCAGGTCGCTGGGGGATCCGGAGCCCGGGAGTTTGTTTGCTGGTCGTCTGAAGACAGGTGAGGGGAAGGCAGGAGACCGCCTGGCACCACACAGTCCTACAACAACAACAGGCAGCCGTCTGGTGGACAATCGTGCCGCGGGTAAAAGTCGTGCGGATGACCGGTCCTCGTCTGCGGCGGTGGAGGCAAGGCTGCGGAGGGAAATGGAAGGTGAGCGTGAGAGGTTGCGAGGCATGTTAGCCTCCTTGGAGAGGCGCATGGAGGCCAAGGCATACCTGAGTAATTTGGAGGAGGGCGCTGCAGACGAGCGACGTCGGAATCGTGAGGCGTTAGCGGCAGTGGACCGGGAACGAGTGGCGGAGATTCTGGGTTCATCCTACAACCACCGGGCCCATGTGGGGCGCAGCGCTTCTCAAGGCGCATGTGTGACCCTCCAGAACGCCGGCGCGGGGGCTGGGGCTGGGCGCCGGTCATCCGCGGACGTAGGCGGTCCGGGGTCGGTTGCGAGTTGGGTGATGCGGGACTTGTACAAGCCCACACACCTCGACCTGCACGAGGCGGTTGAGCGCAAGCTCAAGGCGCGCGAAAAGGCGGAGAAGCCCACGGCAATGGAGCCCGGCACGGGCGACGAGGTCGCTGCCCTTCATGAAGGCCTCGACGCGCGTCTAAACAAAGCGAGGCTGGACAACAAACCGGCGGGAACGAGGACAGAACAGGGCTCGGGATTAGGCGCAGTTCAAGGAGGAGAGTCGGGGCCATCTCGAGGTGCTGGGTCGCGAATGATCGCACCACGACAATTGTCTGAACCGCCCAAGTCGCGAGTTCTAGACCCGTTGGCGGCGACGCGCTATCGCGCAGATCTCAAATTAGCGGCCCGCGCTCTGGAGGGCAAGGAGGAGTCGGCATTTTTCAGCACCATGCCACGCGGCCTGCGGTTGGAGTTGGAGCGGATGCGGCTGGCCCGAGAACCCGTGACGGTGCGGATCAAACGAAGACCCAACGAGGCACGCTACCGCGAATTAAGGCGCCATATCTTCGACCGCATGGAGCGGGGCTCTGTGAACCCGAGAGACCCGAAACGAAACACTTGGATGAAACTCCTACAGAGTACCGAACACGGCAAACTGCAGCGCGAGTTATACGACCGCCTTTTGCGTTTCGGACTCAACAAAAGGGACGCCTATCGCCTCTTGGTCGAGATCAAGCGTAAACGTGCAGCCGCTCTCGACAAACCGGCCAAGGCCCAAGACAGCGGCTCCGAAATCAGCATCGACGAAGGCATCTCGCCCCCCACCAATATTACGCCGCCCGGATTGCTCAAAGTCCGGACCAGACTCACGGCCGCCGAAGCCGAAGCCGCCCCGGGCGGATCCGCCGGCGGGGGGCCGGCTATCTTGCTCAAGACAAAGGAGCAGGCGCGGCCGAACTTGTTCCCGCCTTTCCCGGGACAGGAGGAGTTGCTAGCGGATGACGGACTCTCGGACGAGAAGGTCGTGTCCCTATTTGTGACGCCGAAGGCCCCGATTTCGCCGGGTCTGCCGCAGCTGAGTCCAATGCTGGCGGTCGATTCGGAATCGCCCAAACCGCCCACGGTCACACCCAAGGTGCCAGAGGGACCCGTTTCCACGCCCTTCGTAACCCCTGGTCACCCCGGGAGCCCGAAGAATCCGTCGGACGTCGACGCCGTCGGGCCCGGACTGGAAGTTAAGTCACTGCGAGCCGGCGGCCCAGCACCTGGCACAGGTGCCGTTGGCGGAATGCCCGTGAAGGTCTCAATTCTGACCAAGGTCGCCGACCCCGTCCAGACTAGCGCAATTCGTGAAGGCAAAGCGGGCGGCGTACCCTTCAAGATCAAACCCCACCCGAAAGCTGCACCGCTCATCATCCGCAAGACCTCCCTAGGCGAGCAGGAGGCCGCCGTCAAGTCGCCCCAACCGCCCGGGCCGGGCCAGGCGCCAGCTGCCGAGAACCTCCCTGCTGTCAAACTGTCACCGGCTGCTCCCACACTCGGAAAAGGACGGCCGGCAAAACCGGCTATGAAGGTGACCGGAGCTAAGGAAGGACCGCCGGCCAAGGGAGGACCTCTAGCCAAGGATCCTCCTCTCAAGCCGGGAATCGGCAAATCACCCATGGCCAAACCTCCGTCCGATCAAGCTACAAGCGGTGAGGAAACCACCCCGAAGGCGCCTGGCGTACCTTCCAAGCCTGCCCTGCCCCCCAAACAGCTACCGATGAAGCCGGGAGTGGGCAGACCACCTACGGTTAAGCCTGCGTCGGATCAAGCTACAACCGGTGAGGAAACCAGCTTGAAGGCACCTGGGATCTCTTTAAAACAGCTGCCAAGGCTGGGTGCGGCTGCAGAAGACCGCGGGACTGCCGCCGGGACCCCGAAGCCTCCGCTGCTGGGTAAGGCTCCGTTGGCACCCAGGACTCCTCCTACGGCCAAGGCTCCATTGACCCCCAAGAGTCCTCCTGCGGCCAAGGCTCCGCTGACCCCCAAGCCTCCGCTGCTGGGTAAGGCTCCATTGATTCCCAAGCCTCCGCCAATGGGTAAGGCTCCATTAGCACCCAAGACTCCGTCTACGGGCAAGGCCCCGTTGACTCCCAAGAGTCCTCCTACGGGCGAGGCTGCAGCGACTCCGAAGACTCCTCCTACGGCCAAGGCCCCATTGACTCCCAAGCCTCCGCTGCTGGGTAAGGC